ACGTATAAATTTCAATTGTCGATCATATTTTTCATCTCACTATTAAGTCAATATAAGTCGAAAACTCATTTTCGATTTATGAGTACATCTTGGCGAATCAACTTTACTAAATGAAATGTAGTTTTTACTCTCTAAGAGTGACGTATCTTCTATTGATCATTCACAACCTTCATATGATTCTTGACACACCCGAACGATGCTGTATTAGTGATCATTAGCAGAGTAATATCCAGTATCATCAAAATATGACTGTCCTCATTTAAGATACTATAATGACCTAAGGTTGAAGGACAAATTTCACTACCGAACGTTAGAGATTAACCACTAACACTCAAATAAGTATCCACGTGGAATCTCTCAAGCGANTTTTCTCCTATACAGTATATTTTCGTGGGCTGTAATAAGGTGTGTATTCTCTTGGTTGAATTGCTGGAAATGAGACTTAATATAAGTTTTAAATTTGCCTATTAACTCCATAGCAATAAACAGTGGAGTTACTTCAATTTCTTGGAGTTTAGGTAGTTTTCGGAAACTCAAAAGTCAATGGAGAAAGTAAGGAAAAAAGTTGAAAAACGTGGGCTCTCTAAAGGGGCCAATTTTTGCTTTGTTCAATCCGACATTCGTGTACGCAGGCCACGCCCGCATACAAGTTCAAGGTCCGAAGGCAATTTCGGTCCGTGATTTGCGCCCTCTATGTGCGCACGTATAGAGAACCTCTATACTACACATGATTACACCCTTCCAATGTGCAACCATATTTAAAGTGGTTCCTACTTTCATATTTTTCCTATGTGGGACTAATGCAATTTTTCCACTTAAACCATCTTTTAATGGTCATCTTTGAGTTCCAATTTCTCATTCACCCGAACTTCATTTTTAGTAAGTAAATATCTAATTCTGATGCTCTCATGGAGGAGAACACGGATCAACTTTGATCTTCCAAATTGGACCAACGAGTTCCACCGAAAATATTGCCAAAAGTGAGCTATTTACTCATTTTTTCCAACAATTCCCCACATTATCATTGTGAAATAACTTGTTTGCATGCTCATATAAATAGGAAACATTACCATATTATGTACCTTAAAGTATCTTAGGTCATTATAAAATGAATAATGCTATGTAGTCCCACCGCGGTTGTAATCACAGTCTAAGGGCGCTAGATGATAGGGTTTTAATTTCACTTATCATATAATGCCACAAATAAGTTAACAACGCTATCTAAACTAGGATTGCAGCTCCATTGGGGCTAAATAGTATTACTCTTATAAAATTATGATGCAAACACTACGACTAAGGTGTGCATAATATTTCAAGGTGAAAGAGCAACTCCAAGAGTCTTTTAGAAGTGGAATATTCTCTATTTTAAAGAGTCAATCTTTAAAATTTTACTCCAATAGACTCTTCAATTTAACATTTTAAAATAGAGAGTAGGTACCTCTCTATAATTTAATGCTTCAAAGGTTCCTAATTTCAATGCAAAATTTATTGACATAATTAAATAATATGTGCAAATCTCAATATCTTTTCATTGAATCATTGCAAGCTATTGGAGAACTTTAAAATTAAATATTAAAAACAATAAATATATATTGAGAATGCTAAATTAAATGTTAAAAATAAAGAGGCTATTGGAACACTTTTAAAATTTTTGCTTTTTAAATTGTAGAATATGCTCTTTAAAAATAAAGAACCTTTTGAAGATGCTCTAAAATACTTTCCGAGGAGATCATATTCTCGCTAATCAAGCAATTTCTTCAAATCAAATATATGCACTTGAGCTCAAGAATATTAAAAATTTCAAGGTGCAGCTTGTTGGGAATTTATTTAATTAATGAATTCTGCAAACTCCATTGCTTTATCTTGAACAAAACAATTATGATCTACAATTCACAACTGTTCAATTGTCTAGTTTTCAATGAAAATTCATACAGGGAACAAGATAGAGAGAACTGGAGTTTTCTAGCAAGAATATAAAATGTGTATTCTCTACTGATTTTTCAATCCTAACAACCTATTAATATAAGTCCAAATGGATTTGACTCGTCTTTTAACTTAATCCGGTCCAATATTAATTAATCCAATTAATTAAATTTGGTCCGTAAATTAATTAATTAATTCGGGCCTATTTACAAGCAATTCAATTAATTAATTATCCAACACTTATCAATTAATTAATCGGTAAATCTCATTCTTTTAGTTTTTCTTTTGTATGTGATCGATTAAGTTTTCAATCACGATACCTAATAGCGTAAATTATTATTTTGATCTAATCAAAATTGATAAATTAAAATACCATTTTTGAATTTATTACCAATACACATTCATCGTCCTAAATTAACATCTAGCAATATATCAGAGTAATACATGTGACGAAAAATATCACGTGGTATGACAAAACCAAATATGTTCGTACTGTAAAACTATAATCATTTTGTCAATATGATCCTATCACTTACAAGATATGGATACGTATAAATTTCAATTGTCGATCATATCTTTCATCTCACTATTAAGTCAATATAAGTCGAAAACTCATTTTCGATTTATGAGTACATCTTGGCGAATCAACTTTACTAAATGAAATGTAGTTTTTACTCTCTAAGAGTGACGTATCTTCTATTGATCATTCACAACCTTCATATGATTCTTGACACACCCGAACGATGCTGTATTAGTGATCATTAGCAGAGTAATATCCAGTATCATCAAAATATGACTGTCCTCATTTAAGATACTATAATGACCTAAGGTTGAAGGACAAATTTCACTACCGAACGTTAGAGATTAACCACTAACACTCAAATAAGTATCCACGTGGAATCTCTCAAGCGAGTCTCCTATGTTTTGTTATATAACAAAACATCAATGTGTTCATTTAAGTGTCACTATACTTTAACTTGTGAGATTAATTACTTACTTTATAAGTAAGAAATGTCACATATGATCGTCTATTCGTATCTCATTATTACTTACAACCAAAGAAGAATTAAGATTTAGTAATATGTAATTTGTATCCCACAATCACAACTCATTGTGATTAACAAATACTAAGATTTGAATATATGGATTTTATTATTTAATTTATTAGAATATTAATTAAATCAAATAATAAATTTGCCATAAATGAAATGCATCAATTATATATTAAAAATATTTACTTTAAAGTCGATTGAAATTAGGGCATAACACTTACACAATCAAGGATTTAAATCTAAGACAACTTTCTCAAAAATTCTTTTACAAGAAATAGAAGTAAGAACATATGTCATTCCAAACGGAACCTCGGTTTGATAAGCAACTTTTGACATTTAAAAAGTGCTTCCAAATAGGCCTTAGCAGGTGAAGTAGACTAATCAAAAATCGTTTTCAAAATTCTGAGACTATTTATGTAAATCGTTCTTTAAGATTCGACAACTTAATCAGAAGGACCGACTCTTCCAGTGCCGAGCTTAATTTGCCCTAAATAACGTCTCTCTGCCTCTCTCAGACGCATTGCCGAACATAATTTGCCCTAAATAAGACCTGATGGGGAAGAAGGAAGGAGGGGAAAGCAATGAAGAAGAAAATTATACTGTAACCAAGGTAAAGGAAGGTCACAACTTGCTGGGCTCCCCGACTTTCAAGCCACTGGACATTGGACGCTTCAAATGCGTGGAGACAGGCCATGAGTTGCTGGCGCACGCCAGGGACTCTTACGCCCAAAGCAAGCACTGTAGATTAGGACTAATCGACTCCGCCCTTGCCAAAAAGAAGCCCCCTCTCAACATGTTCATTCAGGACCCTGTTTCACGGTGAATTCCTGTATTTTAATTTTGCCTTGCTATTTGAAGTGTTAAGAATGGGATTTAGGTTTAGGTTTTATGTAATTGTTAATGAGAAAAGGGAGTTTTTTTTTTTTTTTTTGGTGGTTGTGATGTTTTAGTTCAAAGCTAAAGTGCAAGTTAACTGGAGTCACTATCAATAAAACAGAGGAGCATATATGGAAGCATATCAATGGAAAGCGTTTCCTCAACAAGTTAGGTTCGTCTTTCTAATTTTGATTGAAAATTTCAGGAAAAAATCGTTGTTTGCTTAAATTCGGCTGTGTTAATATGTGTATGGATAATGCAAACAGAGAAAATGGAAGCTGAAAAGGAAATTCCGAATGGGGCACTAGAGAAGAAGGGCGAGGAAAAAGAGGAGAAAAAGAAAAAGAAGAATAAAGATGATGATTTGAAGAAGAAGAAGAAGAATAAAGAAGATGGTTTGAAGAACGTGAAGAAGAAGAAGCAAGAGGAAAATGGTATGTTTATTGCTGAAATGGAGGATTCGATAGGGAATGATGTTGATTTGGAAGAAGAAAATGAGTTCTGGATGCCTCCTGTCGGGGATCGTTGGGACCATGATGATGGAGGCGTGCGAGAAATTGATGGTACTGGTGAAGAAGGTATATCTCTATCTTCATGATATATTTTGTCGTGTCAAATGCATATTCACGTAGATGAACTGGTATATTACACCGTAGCATTGTTAACTCCCTAATATGCTTAAATTACAAGTGCAATGAGATTTTTGTTGTTTAAAAATGCCTGTGAGAATGAGTAATGCTGAAGAAATCTTGAGTGTAGATATTTTGCTTGCTTAAATTACACTGTTATCATTGTTAACTCACTAATATGCTTAAATTACAGTGCAATGAGATTTTTGTTGTGTGAAAATACCTATGAGAATGGGTAATGCTTAGGAAATCTTGAGTATAGATATTTTACTTGCGTAAAATACATTTTGATGAAGTATTTTAGCACC